GTGTTCGGGCTGCGGCTCTGCAGGTCCTGTACCTGATCCAGAACCCAACCGATGTTTGGTCGCTCCTGAGGATTTGAAACCATTATGGAGCTCAGCAGCATCTGGAGACCCTCTGAGTATCTAAGAAAAAAATAATAATAATTTCAGCTAATACTTAAAATCTGCACCACAACCACCAGGAGCGTCATTATAAAAAGTGTGTCATTTAACTAGACTATTGCCCGCAGTAGATCTGAACAGAAGACGTCTTAAAAAGCAGCAAAAATTAAGAAATAAAATGCTTGAACGAAAAAGACAAGGAGTTTACATTTAAAGTCTGCATCTGTGAAGGGCAGATCGTCCGAACATGTGAGGGAAAACGTCTTTTTCCTGTTTTATTACTGACCTGCAAGTCACTGGGATTTTAACTGGATTCTGGACAGCCAAAGCAACACTGTCCCCCTTCTGGAATATCATATCATATGGGCCCTCCAGCATCATCATGCAGTACAGCACGCAGCCCAGCGACTGGGGATTAATGAAAACAACACAAACAAAAAAGGTTTGTCGATTAATTAAGGATTTTTCCCTTTTGTCTTAAGCTTCAGATGTTAATATAGAAAAGAACTTGGCAAGACGATGGAGGACGGCTCTGGGGTTTTACCCAAATATCAGTGCGCTCATCTATAATGCAGTGACTCTGTACATTAAAGAGCTCAGGAGCTCTGTAGGAAATTGTGCATCGTTGTGCGGCCCAGTCCTGTACAGTCATTGCTTCTCTGGATCCCTTCACCTGTTAAAAGAAAACAACAGTTTCAAACTCTCAGAGCAACTAAAAACATTACATAATCTTCTGCAAAACTTCTGAACATCTCAATTCTGAGGTTTAGGTGAAATGTTTAAAATCACAATTTAAAACAATAGAAAGATGTCTAATCAAGAGACAAAAATAGGCCTAGTGGCTCTAAAAGCAAATGAATATAGCAAATTATCACTACTGAACCGAAACAAGCTCGAGGCAACGAGATGAAAACCAAGACTGAAAAACTGAAGCCATAATTTGTCCATAAAGCAAACAAAGAAGAATATTTGATCACCTTAAACCCATACGGCCTCAGTTCTGCTGCTTATATGATTATGTGAGCAAAAATATTAGAATGTAAGCCACAAGTACTCAATAGCCTCAACAGTGTCAATCTGCCATCTAGTGGTGAAAAAACAGAATTCCAATCAAGAAACGTTTTTTTTAAGTTCCGGCTTGCATCCCAAGAACTCAATATCCACTAGTATGTCTCCCTTTAGAGTAAGAGATGGGGGGGGGGGGGGGGGGGGGGGGATCTCTGTCAATCTGTTAGTCATCTAAAATGAATGTTACTATTTTACAGATGGCTATGACTGAATACATTTTATTAGGGGTTAGTAAAATCCCACCAACTTCTTAAAGCTTAAAGCACATACCTCAATTCTTGCTCGGTTCATTGAACCCAGATCCATCAAAACGGGCCTGTCATCCTCATCCAGAAGCACATTTGTAGGTTTTAGGTCCCTGTCAAATCAAAGCAGATTGCAAAATATTTTATATAAAGATTTAATAAGTCAAATTGCAAGAATATTGCTTTTTTTTGTCAAGAAACCTGCATTGCTTTTTTTGCTTCATTACAATAAAGGGCGTAACTTAGTGCTGAAAGTTGGTGGGGACACTCGGTGGGTGGCTGATGGACCTACAGTTACTCAACCTGAACGCTTCCTATATGTTTGTGTATTTTCAAAAAATGAGCTCAAAACATAAATTTATTGAATGCTTTCCTATTGTTGAGAACACAATAGAACCATAGTAAACTAATATTTATATTTATAGATAGTTAGAGAGATGCCTTTTAGGGCATTACATATATTAGGCCTGAAAACAATGTGTAAAAAAATAACCAATAACAGCTGATTACAATGCCAACATTGATATATCATGCAGAAGTACAATTTAAATGCCATTCATTTAGAAAAATATTGATATGCTTCATTTTAAATATAGCATATTTTTTTTCTTGCAAACTTTCCTGTAAACTTGGAGATATATTTTATTGCACGTTGCATATCCCAGTAAATCTGTTTCACCTTTAATCTGCAGCTCTCCCTACTTCTCTCTGTGTTGTTTAAAATGATTTATGAACCTCTTTACTAATATAATGATACCAGAAACAAAATTTCAAGATATGTAGAAGCTCTGCAGTCTGATTCTGTCTGCAAATTAAAAAAAAAGATTTTAACCTGTAACTGGGAGTCATGGTCCTCTGAGAAGTCAAGCTTTTTTTTTTTTTACTAGAACAAATCATGTTTTTTCAAGCTTCTTACATTAAAATACTAATGTGTATAAACTTACAATATTAAGCTGGAAAACACTGACGAACAGAATTTTTGGTGGCATTTCTAATTTTTTTCACCAAACTGTCTCCCAACTTTTACGTAAACATTGAAGTAGCTGCTGGTTAAATTCACTAAGTGCTGCTGTGTGTCTCTCCTCCAACCATGTAGCTACTATGTAACGCAGTGAAATGCAACTGCAAATCAGATGTCTCAAAGCGACAGATCCAATTATGTCACACCGAGAGGCGGGACACAGGAGCAGCGCGAGAGAGGACAAAATACACCGACTCAAAACACTCTGAACACAGATAGCTGCACCAAACCTCTGTTACCTTTGGCTAAAGTAAAGTAAATGAGCACAAAAAGTCCTTCAGAAAGTTACACCTATGATTACAATACTTGCCGACAAAAACATTACTTACAGAGAAGTCATACTCAAATACACTCAATACATCACACTTATCTAAGCTTAAACATTTCCTTTTGGTCTTTTCTATGATGGATGAATAGAAGGGGAATAAAAATATTTTCATTGTGCCAATATTGTTCTGTCATGTTTACATTCAATAACCATTTGCAGTTTTTCTACAGTAATCATTAATTAAAACGCAGCACATGATTTGATGTCTCTACCAGAGTCCTTTTCTCTACAGAGACCCTGTGATCATACCTTTAGTGGTACAAATACACCCTTCCGCTTTTTTCCCCCCCGAAATAGATTGAATATAATTTCATAAATAGAATATTATTTCACATCAAAAGCAAATTTAAGGTTGGCAGTCACTAAAGCATTGGGTGATTACCTGTGGGCATAGCCTTTGTCATGAATAGCCTTCAAACCAGAGCAGATTCCACGGAGGATTTTTAAAATCTGGTTCTCGGGCATTAAGCTCCGCTTGTCTCTTAGTTTCTCCAAAACAGACCACAGGGTTCCCTTCTGTTCACACAAACACATCAGAATATGATCACAGTCGGAAAGGTTTCTTTCATCAACAGAATTGCAACGTCAACTTACTCTAATGTACGGCAGAAGGAGCCAGGCTTCGGTTTTGCCTCCGCTGTCAACAAAGGCGTATGCAACCAGGCTTAAGATGTTCTGATGATTAAACACCTGATGCATTTCCACCTCAGTCTGAGCCTCCTGGCGAGCCTGGCGGTCATGACATAAGATCTTCTTCAGAGCGTAGAATCTTCCATCCTTTGCTCCTTCAACCAAATCAACGTAGCTGAACCCACTGGAGAGTCAGGGGGGAATCCCGTTAGAGGGGAGCATGAAATAAAGTCGCACAGCAACTGACATGTGACATTGCAATACAAACACAGTAACTCACCCTTCGTCCAATTTCTGGACAAAGTAGTATTTTTTGTTATCAATGGTGAGGGAGCCACGAGCGCATATACACAGGGCCTGTCCCATGCTGACTGGTACATTGTTTTGCCAAAAGCTTTAAATGAACCTGAAAGAAACCAAAATTTACAGGCAGCAAAGAACCTCACTGAGGTTGTGATTAGGAGTGAAACAATTAATCAGATTAATCGTGATAATCGATTATTGAAATAATAATAATGGTCAGCTAATTTAGTAATCAATAAATTGCTAAATGGCATAAAAAGACTGTTCAACACGCCTTTAGCTGACAGAGCGACCACTTAGAGCTGTAATTTGATCATAATTGTAAAAAATTATATTAATGTTTGCATTTAAGATTTTAAAAAATGTGTTTGTCAATCTGCTCTATCTAGAAGGAACCTTTGGCTATCCCATTATTAATTAATCAACAGATTAATCGATTTGCAAATAATCATTAGTTGCAGCCCTATTTGTGATAATCAAAGAGGAAAAGATGTTCTGCTTTTATTTTTGATCAAAATACTTTATCACTTCAAACCAACTGACAGTTCCCATTGGCTGTCATTGGGATAGCTCTTTAAAATTAATGGTTACATGTAATTAACTGAGTTGAACATGATCATGTTTTGGTTATTCAGCGTTTGGCAGTATTTAGTCCATCAATATGTCATTGAGCCATAGGCAGGGTGAAATCTGGAAGGGTTTTTGAACACTTCAGTTTTAACAAACAGATCAGTTCAACCAGTTATATATGAATAAATCAGAACAAAGCAAACAGAACCAACAACGAAGCTTGTGGTGTGTTATGGATTAATAAATCACTATTTAAGATTTTAAAAAGCTTGAAGTTCTGCTCATTATTGAAGAGCTCGCATTGAAATCAATGCATTTCAAGCACTACACCCCTTTAATATGTGACGTTTGAAGAAGCAAGAATATAATAAATTATCCGTTTTAATTTTTTTTATTTTATTTTAACCAATCGGATGATTTTTTTTGGAGAGAATGTCGGAGAAACAGCACTTATGAGATATTATTTTGCGTATATATGCATCAATAAATAAAATAGTTGGATATTTTGTCAGAACTAGGTGACAGAAAGCAAAGGTTTACCTAAGCTAACACAACAAACCGACAATATGTTCAAGTTAAGATGCATATTCTGAGTAAAATAGTATCGCGCGCCTTTCTTTTAAAACCACTGTTTCAATATAACCCCTCAGGTAATAGCTGAAGAATGGTTGTAGACAATATTTCTTACCAACTCATCTTCCTTAACACATAAGCTAGCTGGTATTTTTTAAGCTAATCTTCTTCTTCTTGAGCTCAACAGTCCGTTGACCGATGAGCAAACAGCGCCTAAAAACACACTAGCGGAACAAACCGACCGAGTTCGAGTTTCACCCGAGAAAGATATGATGGCGGATAACAAACCTAACAGGAAAAGTAGCTCCGACGACGGAGGTGATACATGTGCTGTTTTGATGTTTAAACCTAGTTTACAAATAAAAAATGTTAAACGATATCTTAATGTGCTGCCTATTTAGTAAAAAGAAGCCCGACCGCAAAGAAGACGTTTAATGAACTTTAGCAAGATGAGTTGATGTTAGCTTTAGCTGGCTACTACTAGAGTAGCTAGTGTTTAAACTGGTTTAAAAAAAAAGCATATAGTGCGAGTTAAATTTTTAAGGAGGCTAAACTACCATTGATGAATCGAGTTGTCGATGGTTGATACGGACTTGTGAAATATGAGCCTCTTGACGGTTTGCTGCCCGGTTAACTGGAATGAAAGTGGCTAGCCAAATTAGCTTAGCTCATTCTAAATCGCATAGCATGAACTGCTGCTGCTGCATTAAACGAGGCAGTTGTTGTAAGCTGTTGCACAGAGGGTTCGATGGTGGATCTCTTTAAATGCAGGAGAAAGAAATGACTTTCTGTTTGGTTTAGGGATAGCTAGATCAAGAGTTAAAGGAAACTGCATTAGCTTTTATTGTGCATGACTTGCTTTAAGCAAAACATCTTATTTATTTTGGCAGCTATTGAGTATTCTTTTTGGTTTATATATGAATGGAACAACTTGGAATGATTCATCTCTTAAGTTTGTTCGTCATAATTTTTAGTTTCTTTTTAAGTATATTTTATCTGTGATTTATTACAATATTCATGTGCATCCCTTTTACCAACTCTTTGACGAGCCCTTAAAAAATGTATGTGCACCTGATTGTGAAGCAGAAGACTTCTTTGATTAAGTTTAAAGCCCCTTGTATAAGTGTAAAGTTTCACTATTGCTGTCACCGCCTGGCAGCTACAGTGACTTAACTATATTGATTAGCGTGTCTCTAGTTTTATTGGCTTTGCTTGTTTAATTAATAATGCAGAATTTACTTTAACAGCTATTTGATAGTCACAAATTAGACATTTCATATAAATTCTAATTAGAGGAGCATAAATTGTAGCATTGAACTCTCCTGTATCTCACAAAGCAGTTGTTCACCTCGGTGAGTTGTCTTGCTTCAAGCAGGGCCACAGGAGGAGGAGGACAGAGTGAAAACTAAGCCTGTCTCTTGTAGCACTGGGGGAGGAGATGGGACTGCTGTCAAACGCACATCTCAGCATCTTACCCCTGAAGATAAGGAGCAGTTCTCAGAAGACCAACCAGCCCCTTGCAAAACCGCCAAAATTGGCTTCAGCATGGGCAGTAAGGTGGCAAATAAATCAAACCCAATTTCTATCAAACTAGGAGCAACGGTAAGTGTTAAGGAATGAGCAATTGCACATTGTTATTTGTGCAAATTACACTTTTAAAAAAATTGTTTATGAGTAGTTACAGACCAGCATGAAGATTAAGCTGCTAGCATCCGATACATGCTTCTCTGAGCCTTTATAGATAACCTGATTGTAATCATCAATGTTTCTGGAATACAGAGTCAAGTCATTTTGTTCACACCATTAGGGTTTCTTTTTTTAATTGAACACTAAAAAGTTGCGGGTTGCTTTGCTGTGCTGCTTTGCTTTGATGTTTTCTGTCCCTGACTTGTTCTAGAAACCAAAGGAGATTGTTCCAACTCTTCCTCCCAAAAAATTAGTATCTGTTTTTAATGAAGATGATGATGTAAGTACCCACATACAAAGTCATGTAGTATAGATAGAAATAGATGATCAGTAGCTGATGTCATCGTCCTCTTTTGTATAGAGTGAACCAGAAGAAATGCCTCCAGAAGCAAAGATGAGGATGAAGAATATTGGGAGGTAAAAAAAAAACAAAACAAAAACTTTAAGATTATCCTGATTTTCCTTTGATAAATACATTCTTGAATTATTTTCCCAGGTGTTTACATACACTGCATATAGAAACTGATAACTATTTCTTTTTATTTTTTTACTGTTTGGCTCTTAATGAGTCTGATCCTACCCCACTGTAGATCAGTTTAGATTACCCAAATTATTTCTACTATTGCCTAATGCAGTAATACAATTTAGGAACATCTTAATGATGTTATGTGAGTAGATTTCTGTGTGTAAAGATCTAGAGGAGATGGATGCCTCTCAAGCTTCTCCCATCTTTTCGTCGCATTGATTTTTTTCTCTCTTTTATTCCTTCTGTTTGGATATATTTAGATTTTGATTGATGATTTTGATGATGAATGTGCAAATAAACCCAATACGTTTGGGGAAATGATGGCGGAAGCTTCTAAGTTAAGGTTATTATGCTATTATTATTATGTTAGATAGCCTAACATGGCCTGAAAGGCCACTCACTGAGGAAGAAGCCATCATTCCTAAAACAAAAAAAACAACAACCCATAAATAAATGAAAAGAGACTTAAGTTAACAAACTCAGGATCAAAGACTTTAATGTTTGGAGATGTGTCCTGTGGTCTGATGAAACAAATGAAAATGTATAGCTTAGATGACCAAGGCTGCAATTGGAACTGAAAGGGAGAAACCTGAAAGACTGAGAAAAGCATCTCCTCTGATGTTAAGGCACATTATCTAAATATTTGTTGCAGTCATGTTAAAAATTCCAACCTGAACGGCATGCTGCCAAATAATCTACAGGGTAATTTAAGGACAAAAGAGATCAGTGTTTTAAACTGCAGGGGTGTATGATCAAGAAGGCTCAGGCTGAATGCATTGAGATCCATCAGAATGTTATGGGACACTTCTAGACAAACAACAAAAATCTTTAACCCAATTCATACAGTTCAATTCTTGTATTACCATTATAACATGTAAAATTTATAAAGAACCATTATAATTCTGAAAAGGAAGAAGCTTGTTTAATGTATGGTGAAATGGGAAAAAATTGTTTTTATGTAAATGACTCATTTCAGCAATGTATAGAATTTTATTGATTAAATTTAAAGTAATGAAGTTGTTATCTTTTCAGGGAGACGCCAACGTCTGCAGGACCTAACTCCTTCAACAAGGGCAAGCAGGGCTTCTCTGATAATCAGAAACTGTGGGAGAGGAAGATGAAGGCCCAGTCTGACAAGCCATAAAATCATTACAGCAAAGCGTTGTCACTAATAGGGAATTTTATACTTGTTAACATTATGAGTTATCTTGGAAGGCTGTCATTTTTGTTGCTGTAGCCTTACCTTTTACAACTTTTCAACTCTCCTGAGATGCGATGAAGACTACTTTCAACCCTTTTCAATACCTCCAACTACAACTGGTCGATTCTAACGTGGTGGAAAAATTTTCAGGCACCTTTTATTCCAGAGATTTGGGTAGGTACTAAGGGAGGAAGGAAGTTAGCCAGAAAATACTTGTAAACTTTTCCATCGTCTTGCATTTTGTTGGAGAATTGGATAATTGAAACAATTACTACCCTCATGTTGTTATTATGATGTTTCTCGTTCCCTTCATGAGCTTGGTTCGGTTTAGTCCTAACGAGCTTATTGCTTGTTTGATGTTGGTGTAAAAATGTACATAGCAACAATATTTTATGTTTTAATCCAGAAAGCATACTGTGAGTTAAAATATTTTATGTAGGTGTTTTTTTGTTTTTTGTTTCCAATTTCTTTCGTTTTCAGTTTCTCCCGTTATTGTAAAAGCCCCCGCTTTCACCACCTCTGTCCTCTATGTGCGCATTTTAAGTTACAGTCACCTCTCCTATGATTAAAAATGTCTAAAACAAAGGTTGTACTTCTTGTAGAATTATTTAATTTTGCAAACAGTTTTCCTTTTCACATTTAAAGTCAAATTTATGTCTGCTAAATTCCATAACTCATGAAAAAGTCTGCCTGAATTGCTCTATCCACCCCCAGTATTCAAAAATGTACATTTAAGATTTTTTTTCAGTGGACTAACTACCCTTTGTTCAAATATTCCCAAATAAAATATACCAACACATCTTCTGTAGTCTCTGTTTCAATTATTTTTGTTAAATACAGATTTAAAAGCAAGAGTTTGTCATTTGTTTATTATATATTAATAGAATAAAAATTTTACATTTTAAGAAGTTACAATAGTGTAGTTAAATAATTATTTTTTTACAGTATTAAACAGCAGAGTTTATCCAAATGTTTAAAATGGAAAAAGAAGCTACTCATTTTAAAGGACCCATTTTTTTCAAGAGTGAAATTAAAACCCGTTGAGTTTAAATGTCTGTTGCCATGGAAATCTTTACACATTTCCTTAGATCCAATGCTTTTTGGAAAGTCTGATTGTCTAAGTTTAAGGTCTAATATATGTGGAGTTCTTGCTGGTAAATGATCCTCATATCTCAGTCTAACTGAGGCCGCTGCATGTGTGAGATCTGCCACGCTTCCCGAGCTGGTAAGGCTTTCTGCAAAGGGATCCAGAAGGCACTGTATGATGCTCCTGCGTTCCACTGCAGACTGGGAAGTACCTTCACGGCTCTTTGCACTAGTTTGGGCACTGTTAAATCTGGCTGGATAAATGACGCAGAAGTTCCACTGGTCCATATTAACAACATCTTGTGGGCAGACGTTTGTAGCAAAGCCTAAAGATGTGGAAGAAGCTGAGTCATAAAGTGTTAAAATACATTTCAAAATGAATCAGGTTTAACTAAGGCTTTCATGAAACCGAGATTTTTTTGTTGTTGTCAGTTGTGCGGTTTCATCTGAATTCCCTGCACTGGTACTGGTTTTTATTTAGGCGAAACAGTAACAACTGAAAGCAAGCTGTATGTTTTTGTAATGCTTTCCATACGCTGAAACCTGAATGTCTACCACATATTATTTTCCCTTAAAAACGGTTAAACGTTTATCATTTTATTCAATGGGATTTCTTTTATATTTGCAAAAACCTTATAAATCCTTGTCTGATTTACAGGTGAGAGCTACTATTAATTGTTTGAATAAAAAAATTAGGAGGAAAACCTTTTTGGATAGTACACAATTTTAGAAAAAAAAAAGCATAATCATTTGCCTTATAAAAAATAGCAGTTTTCATTTTATTTATCAGTCCTTTGGTCTATTTTTGGATCCTTTAAAATTAGACCTGTATTCTAATTTAGACCTACTTTCCTATCCTAACTAAGCTGCATTGGTGAACTCCATAATATCAAAAAGTACTGCGACCATACAGAGGAAAGCTTTCTGAACCTTTTTTTTTTTTTTCTCATAAAAGTGTCTATAAGAGGAAAGAAATTAGACCACTCTCCATCCTGGATAGTTGACAGTTTGACCTGGGTTTCATCTAATTGTTTCTCCATGCCAAGATCTTTACAGTACATTCAAAAGATCAAATACTGACAGCTGAAAACTTACAAAATTCTTTAAAATATCCAAGCTTTCCCTTTAAAGAATTAAATTTAGTTATATGATAGATTAATCATAGACTTTATCTGGACTACCTTAACTCCTGATTCCAGGACAAACACAGCATCACTGCTGGCGAAATATTCAGCTGATAGAACACAGATAAGCATCTGACTTCTCTTTATGGTGAGAACCACATCGTTTGTATAAGCTGTAAGGCATAATCAAATTGTTAACATTCACCAGGAAACTTTGTGGACAAATGTATAAACACATTTGATTCTGTTACCTCCTCCTGGAAGGATGTCCCTCTCCAGCAGACAGACACGGTACCCCCACTGGTGCTCTAACACATGTGGTAGCAGCATTTCTATCGGTGCCTCACTGCTCTGCATGATGTTAGATACACATCCTGACAGTGAAGACAAAAAAAAAGAAATACGTTATCTTCAAAAAATCCAGACTAGTATATCAAGCATATTGGCTTATACCTTTTGCATCACTGTAAGGTTTGGAAGATAGGGTTAAACCATTTGCCACCTCTGTTGATGGAGCCGTCCACACATATGACACAAATACATCAAAATCCTTCTCATCTGCAAGATAAGGGGGAATTAAAGATTCATATAGCAATTAAAATTGCTGTGTCAAATTGCATGCTTGACAATTTAACTTTGCAGTGCAATGGCAAAAGCCATAACATGCATGTATGTGTGTGTGTTTTATGTGACCTCCATCAGAGCCTCCAAGCTGGAAGTGGGATCTGTAGATGAGCTGTAATTCTAGCCACTTCACATGCAAGATGACCACTGCCCCAGCAAACAGCACAAAACAGGCAAAGGGAATCCATACCAGGAATGGCTCTTGTAATAAAATAAACAACCAACACATTTTTAAATAATTTTACCAAATAGTCTAGGTAATGTAGCTGACTAACTTATTATTATGTATTTTAAAGAGAAAATTGAATTATGATAAAGCTAATGTTTCTAATCAGAACACATAGAGCAAAATAGAAAGTTTACCTTGATGTTTTGGTTTAAATTTAATGGTGACACTTTTGCTGCCAATGATGTTGCTGGCAAAGCAGGTGTACGTGTGCTTCAGGTGCTGCGGCGTCACTTCTTTTATGATAGATTTCTGGGTAACGTTGACCTTTGAAAAAAGTCTTCCACGCTTTTCCCTGGAAAGTGGAATAATATGAATCTACTTGCTTGTGAAATCAAAAATACAATTTCAGTGCAAAGTGCTCTTAATTACGTACTGGGGTTCCTCCATGAGTAGCAGTGTCTTTTTCTCCTCATCACCGCCATCATTTATGAACCATTGCACTTTTCGAGAAATGTTGACCTCAAAATCAAAGCTTACCTCACACAGTACAGTATGAGGCTGACCTGAAATAAGGAAAAAGATTTGAAAAAAAAAATCCCACACAGGAGCCATGGCATATAAGCATCCTAGTATTTTATGATGTTTTCAAATATATTCCTTTACAATAACAATCACACTAACAGCTTCAAACTGGTATTTCTTTAATAAATCACCTAAATTCAATATCAATGATGAAACTGATAAATTATCTTAATATTAGTCCAGATGCACTTACCAAGCTCAACCTCCTCTGTCATGTTTTGAAACGGATACATTATCTCAGGAAGAGAGCTTGCGTTGAGAAATGCTGTTTGGTAAAAGGAAGTTAAGTTATGTTCTCATTCTGTTACAGGGCTTCAAAGAAAAAAAAGGTGTTACAGTGGGGCAAAAAAGTATTTAGTCAGCCACCAATAGTGCAAGTTCTCCCACTTAAAATGATGAGAGAGGCCGGTTATTTTCATCATAGATATACCTCAACTATGAGAGACAAAATGAGAAAAAAAAAATCCAGAAAATCACATTGTCTGATTTTTAAAGAATTTATTTGCAAAATATTGTGAAAAATAAGTATTTGGTCAATTACAAACAAGCAAGATTTCTGGCTCTCACAGACATGTAACTTCTTCTGTAAGAGGCTCCTCTGTCCTCCACTCGTTACCTTCATTAATGGCACCTGTTTGAACCCGTTATCAGTATAAAAGACACCTGTCCACAACCTCAAACAGTCACACTAAACTCCACCATGGCCAAAATTAGAGAGCTGTCAAAGGACACCCGAAACAAAATTATAGACCTGCACCAGGCTGGGAAGTCTGAATCTGCAATAGGTAAACAGCTTGGTTTGAAGAAATCAACTGTGGGATCAATTATTAGAAAATGGAAAACATACAAGACCACTGATAATCTTCCTCGATCTGGGGCTCCACGCAAGATCTCACCCCGTGGGGGTCAAAATGATCACAAGAACGGTGAGTAAAAATCCAAGAACCACACGGGGGGACCTAGTGAATGACCTGCAGAGAGCTGGGACCAAAGTAACAAAGGCTACCATCAGTAACACACTACGCCGCCAGGGACTCAAATCCTGCAGTGCCAGACGTGTCCCCCTGCTCAAGCCAGTACATGTCAAGGCCCGTCTCAAGTTTGCTAGAGAGCATTTGGATGATCCAGACGATGACTGTGAGAATATCATATGGTCAGATGAAACCAAAATAGAACTTTTTGGTAAAAACTCTACTCGTCGTGTTTGGAGGAGAGAGAATGCTGAGTTGCATCCAAAGAACACACATACCTACAGTGAAGCATGGGGGTGGAAACATAATGCTTTGGGGCTGTTTTTCTGCTAAGGGACCAGGACGACTGATCCGTGTGAAGGAAAGAATGAATGGGGCCATGTATCGTCAAATTTTGAGTGAAAACCTCCTTCCATCAGCAAGGGCATTGAAGATGAAACGTGGCTGGGTCTTTCAGCATGACAATGATCCCAAACACACCGCCCGGGTAACGAAGGAGTGGCTTCGTAAGAAGCATTTCAAGGTCCTGGAGTGGCCTAGCCAGTTTCCAGATCTCAACCCCATAGAAAATCTTTGGAGGGAGTTGAAAGTCCGTGTTGCCCAGCGACAGCCCCAGAACATCACTGCTCTAGAGGAGATCTGCATGGAGGAATGGGCCAAAATACCAGCAACAGTGCGTGAAAACCTTGTGAAGACTTACAGAAAACGTTTGATCTCTGTCATTGCCAACAAAGGGTATATAACAAAGTATTGAGATGAACTTTTGTTATTGACCAAATACTTATTTTATAATACATATTTTGCAAATAAATTCTTTAAAAATCAGACAATGTGATTTTCTGGATTTTTTTTTCTCATTTTGTCTCTCATAGTTGAGGTATATCTATGATGAAAATTACCGGCGTCTCTCATCATTTTAAGTGGTAGAACTTGCACTATTGGTGGCTGACTAAATACTTTTTTGCCCCACTGTATGTAACCAAATATGCACTTTGCTTTGACACACAGGAAATCCCACATGAAACGAATCAAGCTATGTATTGTGCATTTCATCAGTCCTACAGAACCTGTGTAAAAGAAAGAATTAAGTTCAGATTTCCCTGCAGGCAAAGTTGATGGAAAGTTTCTATAACTGTCAATGAGTTATGTTAAAGAAAACCTATTGCGCCCCATGCTTTAGTAGCCAGAACCACATCAAGCAATAAACAAAAGCAGAAGCACCACATAAAAAATGACCCCAGTTTTTGTGAAGAACTTCATTTGGGTTATCCCAATGTAAGGAGAGTGGTTGTCAAAACTAAATTTCATTAAAAATAGGAAAACAGTCTGAGTGTTTTGAAAAGAGAGCCCTGGCAAACAGGTAAAATTAGAAAGATAAATGGCAGCTTTCTTTTAACTAAGCTTTTTTTTTTTTTTTTTAAAGAAAGCAAGAATTGTAAATGCTGCTGTTAATTCTTAAGGAGTGTTGGGTATTCATCACTATGTAAACACAGCGATTGAAATAGCTTTTGCTTAAGGTTAAAAGTTTGACGGAACATTCTATTAATTACCATATGTCATTTAATAATCTGTCCAGGGACAACAAATGAAAAATAGTCTTTTGGCTAATTCTGAGGCACTATAAATAATGCACGCTGAAATCAATAAATTAAATGAAATGTGCAAAGAAAATGCCCATACGCCATTTCATCAAACTAACAGGTCTAAATCATATAATCAAAGCTTGATTGAATTAAGATTTCATGTTTTTATCTCAAATTTTTGCTCCACCATCTGAAAGCTGCAGTGAATATTAAGACTGCTTGGACCTGGTGATGTTCATGCAAACTGTATTTGTTCCATTTTATAAAGCCTATAAACATTTTATCTTCAGTTTCCTGTCTTTATCCCACCTGGCCAGCCAGACTAATGTACGCTGTGTGCGTCCTGTCTAAGTCAGTCAGCCTGGCTGGCCAGGCTAGTTCTTCCTAACAGAAGTGGCTCTCAGTGTGGGCTGCTCTTGCTGCAGCCCATCTGCTCCAATGTTCAAATGGGATGTAGTTGTAATGAGTGATCTAGCTATCATCTCACCCATGCATCTCATTGGATACTTTTCTCTCCTTTAGAGCATCTGACAAATGGTTGTGTGTGAAATTCTCAGTAGATCAAATGTTTTGAAATTCTCAAACCCGTCTCACTGGCTCCAAACACCATTGTGTTCGATTCAAAGTTACTAGAATCCCAATATTCCCCCATTCTAATGCTTCAGGTTGGGGAGTGTCTAGTGGTTAGAGCAGTGCGCTTGTGCTCTGAGAAGGTTGCAAGCACCCGGTTCGATCTCCACTGCCTGCACTCTGGGCCTCTGTGCAAGACCATTAACCCACCACTGCTCCTCGGGCGCTGCACAATGGCAGCCCACTGCTCCCCAAGGAAATGGGTTAAATGCAGACATAGATTTCTTCAATATGAGATCAATAAAGTTCAATTATTATCATCATTCAGCAATGTTCTGCACTGGACGTAGATATCTAAAACTGAGTTGCTGACATTAGATCAATGGAGTCACTACTGGTGTTATGCTCTAAAACAGCACAATCGGATGGATTTTCTTTCATGTGATATATAGGCTGTAAAGTAAAAAAAAGAAAAATGAATATGCTGTGTTAATATGGTAGATAACCATTATTTATTTCGCACCTTTTCAAGTCAGTGGACTTCAAATCGCTTCAGACACTAATGGTAACAGCTGCACTGTTGCCACAGCTGCGCTTGGGCACAATAATACTTGGGGGAAGAAAGGACAGATGCTTTTAAACGTTCAATTTAACTGTAACTGCAGTAACATAACACTTTTTTACTTTTTGTTGTGTTGGAAAAGTAAAACCACAAATTCGCTGCATGAAGTGAACATTTACACAATGGAAAAACGGATTCTTGCATGTTTGAAATCACTTCAGGCCTAAAGACTAATTTCTTATTAGTATTCAATTTATGATAAGCCTCAGCTTGCAGGTTTAAGAGGGTATGACGTGATAGACTTCTGTCATTTGTTAAAGTTGGAATTATATATTTTTGACTTGACAAATCTACAAAAAGCAAAGAGTCCAGAAACCACTCAGGTAACTGTTGTTGGCAGAGGAAGTTTTTTCTGGTTCGTTTGTTTTTTTGTAGATGACAAAATTTGAGGGGTGGAGAAATATAGACAAATGGTTGTGAGGATAATATGCAGTGTACTGTATACCACTCTTACAAGTAGCTTCAATATACAATAATTTTTGGTGGGTAATACATTATGTTCATCTTATTTATGCATGAAGACCCTTAAGTTATTAACTCTGGTGGTTTATCCAAGTTTTCACATTTCTTTATAGCTGATTTAGGACATGATTAAGAATCAATGCAAACCTTTGGTTTAGAAATCCAACTCTTTAAAGGAACCTTTTTCTGAAAGATTAGGAGTAGCTGCTTTCCATACTGTTTACATGAAATAATCATGAAAAGAACAAAATACATCGGATCAAACAAAGCATAATTAGTTAGTCACTCATTGTATTGGTTAATGAATTTGATAACATGTGACATGAATAATTGTGTGGTTGCCATATTTGTAGAGGAGTGATTCTATCCTTTTTAGGGACATATGAAACCTTTCATCAATCTGTTTAGACATAATTTGATTTCCTGTTGACAAAAGTGTGATTCCCTTTGGTCATTATTGGACAACAGATGCATAATACAGTGGTTGATAACACAGTGAGCAATTGAGCTTAACGAGGAGTCTGGAAGTGAAACCTAAGAGATTTTAACACATCAACACCAGAAAGCACCTAAATATAGTCTCTGTAGATAATGCAGGAGTAGCTAGTAATCTTACGTATGACTGTGACGTTTACGGCTCTCCTAAAAATCCACGTGACTCCTTCCTCGGTTATTTGTCTGTCACAAAAAAACACACCTTTGTCCCGTTCGTAGACCTCGTTGAGGACTAGCTGCCCATTTTTTTCACAGTGTTGTCTATTGTGCTTCCACAAGGCTTTATTTTTCTGAAAGAATGCAGTAGAGAGTTAGTTTCTGCTTAGATCTGGCAACAAGTTACCACTTTTATATCATGCTGATTTTTATTTTCATTTTGCACTTCAAAGTGTTTCACCTTGTACCAAACCACAGCTGTGTTATTATAACATTTATGTCCAGGGCAGAGGATGGTACCAGGATATGCATACTGTAACATCGCGCTGCTTTCACTGGGCTCATAGCATTTTAACTTTGTTTTCTTGATGACCTGCAGTGTGAAGTTTGATCTGCAACAGCAAGGACTTGAAAAGTTAACTAAAGTTTTCTGAAAAGTTAAATAACCCTGCCATTAATATTGAAGACATAAGATCAAGTATACTCTGATGAAACCACTTTTTAGTATTCCTATTATTAAAACATATATTTTAATTACAACTTATAAACACAAACCTATTTACATTTCTTTTTGCATTATAGTTAATGGAATTAAAAGATAGAGCTGCAATGGCACCATAGAAAAGGTTCATGCATAAATAATGAGAAAGAATGTGCAATCAGATGGCAGCAGAGGATGATAAGTGGGGTGAGATTGGGTTTACCTGCTGTTGTAGTCCCTAAAGGCAACATCCAAAGTTAGTTATAAGGCTGTTAACAGGTTTCTTATCTTTTGTTCTCTCTTTTGATAACCCAAATTACTGTTTAGAATAAGCCACATCTTGGGGTTGAAATAATATGCCAACATAACTTACGATCACTTTACTTACCCATTGGGTCTTCTATATGTTCCACTGTCTTTCTCATTAGCAACAAACTGATTTTCGCATTTTTTACTTTCATCACCCTTGAACCATGTTGTAGAGGAGCTCTCAGGTGAACTGCATGGCATCATAAAAACTTCTCCTTCCACAACTTTGTAGTGCTGAAACTGCTGATCTACAGACATACGTTTTGCAGGTGCAGCTGTGACATTTATTACTTTGACTAAAACAAATATATTAATTCATTGAACTGTTATGCAGTTTAATATTGATTGAATACCTGTATGTTTCCTCTGTTGTTTTCCCGAAAAGCAGCTCTTTGAGATAGTTGGCAGGAGGAAATGTAACAGAAGAAATCCAGTTTGCATGCTGTTTTCAAAACCACAGACTTTTGGATAGTATTGATGAAGGATATCACAGATCTCTACACCTCACTAATCGTTTTCATAACTAACCAGAAGTTGGAACAGAAGTGGGTTTTTTTCTTCTTTCGATCGTTAATGTTATCTCCCTCTTGCGGTTTAAGGTTGTGGTAGTATTTTAACAGGTCGCACTCTTTCTTTCCTGTTTTGTACTTTGAGAATTTCTATGAAATCTGCCAGGCAAGCCACTTCCTGTAAACTATAGAATTTTTCTTCTGCACTAACTGAAGAACCCAAATTACTCCTGTTTTAAAGTCTATTGCTCGCTCTAGCTCACCATATGAATGCTGAAATTATCATGTTTGCATTCAGACAGCAGCATGATCAGGCCCCTCCCTAAATGTGTGACTTGATTATATCACACAGCCAAGCCTGCAACTTAAGATTTCATTTTAAAAAACAAACCAAAAAAATTAAAAATCGAACAAAAAACAGAAAAAAGTAAAAATGCAAACATAAATTGCAGATGTCTTTCATAAATGCTGTTTTTTCTCTTGTGACACATCTAATGTATTAATTTAAATCATGATAAAGAAGATATGCTTCCAGGACCTGTTTAAAACCAAGGGATCTTCATGACCAACAAAAGTTTGCTTGCATTTTAAATTTAAAAAACAAAACTAAAAACAAAATCCCCTGTTTTAAAGTACAATTAGAGGCTTCAGTACTTTTGTTGCACTTAAAACATTTTCTTGTGATTTCTGCTTTAGCACAAGACTAACACCACGTGGCAAGTCTGCACTAGTTTTTTTTCCATGATCTAACCATAACCTTTTTAATGTCCTTAAAATATTAGTTTTCTGCACCTCCCCTATGATTTCCTGCCTTGGTGTGAAAATATGCACACCACTATGTTTGTCATTTCTGATGAAGTCATCACTATAATTTTCTTGTATGTATTTTTTGAATGAAACCATCTATCTTTCTTCATAATAAAACTTGGCAAGACCAGTAATAACAGTATGAAAGCGAGGAACAGTTATTGTAGGGGAGGCAGTGAAGAATTGAGTCATAAAAAAAACATCACTGAGAAGAGCAAAACACCAGTATCTGAATTTTAACACTGTGGAGATTTAGAGTTTTCTGTTGGAGGGGTTATAAAACAATTTGCCATTTAATTTAGAAAGGTAGGCACCAGCACCCCTCGCTACCCCACTTGGGACAAGCGTGTAAAGAAAATGGATGGATGGATGAATTTAGAAAGGTGTCTTCAGCTGGTGTTTCAAATCAGTTTTTAAGATCTGCCTCCTTTTCTTGGCTTCATCTAGTTAGATGTAACTTTATTTTGATTTTCTTCTTGAGTTCGTGATACTTTAATGTTGCTTCATTTAATTGTCCTTTAATTATACTTTTAATTGTTTTACCTGTTTTAAATGTAATGTTTTATTATTTAGCTTTGTGATTTTTTTTATTCAGCACTTCAGTCACGGCCAGAGGTTTAAATAACGTTAACCTAGCTTGCCTAAATATTGTAAAGCACATAATTTAAAAGCAATCAAAAGATCAATAAGTGTATGAAAGTTGCAACTGTAATAAATTCAACATGCACCATTTTCCCTTACTAAACTTTAAGTAGATTCCAATATTAATGATGTCTAAAGGGAAAATATCAACGTGCACAGGTTTTGCATAACTATAAGGTTTGAATTCAGAATTTCTAAAAATAACATATTTAAGACTTTATTTGAAGATGATTTTCGAACTAATATCCAATACAGGGAACTGTATAAGTAAGTAATTCTTTTTTTGACCTGTCTGGTCTGTGGTTGTGAATCTATGTCTAAATTCCTTTTTCTAGTTCAGAACTTGCCCCAACTTTTAGAGCACAGTTTCACGCTTACTAAGTTAAAAAAAAAAAGCACCTGTCATCTGTTAACTTTGGACAAACTACTTTTCTTGATAATGCAATATGAGTGACTGTGCTCTTTTTTACTTAATTAAAATTAGTCTGGTGTTTTAACTTTTTTTTTAGTTTCTCTCAAAGAAGCATGGATGGAAACCATACTTCTAAACTTTGGTAAAAGAAGCAGTAGTCACAGCTAGTGCGGTTTATGTGCATAAGGCTCAGAAGCTAATAGAGCAGTAATAGAAAGTTCAGCGGACATGGACTGTATTGATATGATCAGTTTTGCTGCATGACGGGTTGCATTGAACGACCGTCTGAGCAGATCATACTAGATTAAGTGAAACAGCTGTTCACCACATCCAACTTGGGTCGTGTTTAATCTTTCGAGCCCTCACAGAGTCACATCTGATGTTCACATGCATTGCTTTGCAAAAGTTTAAAATGAAACATAATTTATTTCTGGGCTGCATGAATATAGCCTAACAATTATGGTAATATGTACAAGTATATAAAAAAAAGAACATTACACTTATTAATGGAATACATTTTTTCATTCCTCCAGAATTTCTAAGATGTGTAAATATATGTTCTTTGGACTCAGGGAAAAAAGAGACTATTGCTACAAATTGTCCATCCAAATGATGGTCAAATTTGCCTTTCAATTGGAAATCAAGGAACCAAAGTCTGAAGAGAGAGTGACAAGGATCAGAATGTAACTCACAAGAGGTCCAATATAAAGTTCACAGTCACTAATGATTATAAGTCTAATCATTTCCTGCTTTGGGTCGTTTTCTCTCGACCGTCCAAGTTAGCAAGTAGAGTCATGACATGGGTCTATGTACTGTAGAGGCACAGAGGAAACATGGTGCCATTAAGGCCAGACCTCACCGCACAGCTCTGACCACATGTCCCATATATTGGTGATGCTTTTGGGCCCAGATTGGTTTTTCCAGCCATCTTCAAACCCGTAGTTACCAATCTTCAAAGTAACGCTGAAGTGAAGGCCTTCTTTGATTACGAAGTGGACATCAACATGATTTATTTTTATTCACTAGATTTCTCTTAAAGGGAAAATTATATTAATATATAAAAATACCTGAGTGGATCACTGATTACTCATAAAAAAAAAGAAATGGTTTTCTAACAAACAGTTTAGTGTTTATTATTAAATAGCAAAGTTTAATACATCAGAAAAATACAGATAGAATAAAAAAAAAATAACACAATGATGAAACACAAAATAAAAAACAAAACGGATGAATATTATGCTGACATAAGGTCAAGTATTGCATTTTCTAAGTGTGTAACATAAATGTATGAATATAAAGAGAGCTTTAGAAATGCAAAGGGACATGGGCAGAAGAAAGTCAAAAACCTTAGCAGCAGTTTAGTGGCTTGTCAGTATTGAGATACTTTTTTAGCGTCACTTCACCAATTTTCCTGAACTAGACTTTATTCCAAAACAAGCAGGTAAGAATAAGAGGAGTATTATTTAAGAGACAAATAGAAAATTAGCTGAATAAAATGTATTGTTGGTTGATTATAATTTTACAGATTAAATCTCCATATATGGATATCCTACCATTTATGTTTGAGAACTTGGTGGAAGTAGGTTACGTCTGTTTATAAGGTGTCAGTGAATTTTCATGTTGGACAACTGGAGCTTATTTTGACTGTGTAATATTGACTGCTTATTAGTCTCCAGCAGAGGATGAATGCATCAGTCCCAGCCATAGGATCAGTACTGTGGTTGGGTGATTGACATGATTTGACAGTAGGAGAAGCAGCGGAGATAACTTTGTTAAATAATCTCCCAAGACAGACAGCTTCAACACCACAGAGGAGAGGATGTAGAACACATGAGGGAACACAATCAGCTTGGTGTTACTGCCACTATCAACCACAAGCTTGAATGGCAGGACTCACCCTAACATGAAAGCATGTGTATGATAAGAGTTAAAAGCCACTCCCTGAGAAAGCTTAGATCTCTTCACGCTTTCAAAAAGACTGATGTTTTGTTGATGGTCCAAAGGCGTAGGTTTGATTTCAACTTTGGTAGGGACACTATTGGTCTGATGTCATTAGTCTTATGCAAAAATATGCATGCTCGTTTTTTATGCTTGACTCGAAAATCAGGGTGTATTTCATTTAAAGAGAAAAACAGCATTTCTTGCTAAATTTATGCAAATTTTATAAGCACTACACACACTAGATGTTGTTTATCAATGACTGAAGCTTGACCGGCTCTGATGAATAAGGAATTTGTTTTTTTTCTACTTTGAAAAGGTTTGCATTGAAACTTAACAGCGACTATGTCAGATATAGGTAAATACGTGCCTATTTAAGCAAATAAAGTCTAAATAGGTCTGTTACATGTGGATTTATACTTTTTTTATTTTGAAGATATAGAATTGTGCAGAGGTAAACAGAGGTAAACCCCACTCTTATCTTTCAAATGTTCTCTTTGTATCATGAAACAAATCGAAATAATAGATTTATGGGATGCCTTTTTAATGTATTGTATTTACATGAGCACTGGATCTATAGGAGGAACTGACACTGAGCATTTAAAATATTAACTTCACTATACAAGTTGTTCATCTAGGCTGTAGTTCTGTAGCCCATTTCATTTATTTTAAATTTAGTAATTAATTAATCAATCGTTAACTGTAGTATAGAGACTCTAAAACATGTCTTTAGCTCACAGAACAACCCAATTAGAGCAGGAATTATACCAAAATTGTAAAAAAAACAAAACATTTAGCATTTTAGATAAAACATGTTTTCGTCTGTCAATATTCTCCATCCAGAACTCCTCTACTGCTGCAACAATGCTGTATTGTAAATTCTAAACATGTTCTTCAAAGGTAATTGTTGGTAGGGACAAGTAGATCTGTCCAAATTTTTGGTAGGGACATGTCCCTATGGTCCCTATGCAAACCTACGCCCACGTGATGGTCTGTTACTCTTTGTTGTTGTGTGCTTGGAGAATATCAACAGAGTCAGCAATAGTAAAAGTTTAAATTAAATAACTAACCAGGCTACACAGTGGGCTTTTTACCAATCTAAGATGATGGAGATGAGGAAGGTGAAAAATGCATTTACTTAGAGAGTAGAGGGCTATTAGTTCAGCCATATTTATGTCTCAACTACAGAGACTTAAGGGCTCTGAAGTTGGGTCCATCTTTACAACCTATAAATATCTAAAAATATTTTTCTATGTTGATCAGACAGAAGGTCCATTCCTGACTGACCTGAATTGTTGTATTTCAAGAGCTACCTATTTTGCTAATGTCCCTTTGTCATTAAAATATGTTTAAAAAATAAAAATATTTTTTTTATTGTAAAAGTAGGTAAAAAAAGCACAACAACTGAGGACAATACCAATGATTTAAAGATGTGTAGCAACTATGCATGAAAATCATT